AAGTGTTTTCAGCAATCTTAAGGGAAGAGAATATTAACTACTTGGAGTTCTAAGTGCATACTTCACTGTTAGCACACTTCATGTGCCCCCTAATACTTTGCTGGAAAGCAAAGGATAAGTAAATGCATTTAATCTGGAAAATCTGAACGAAGATGTTGTGGATGAATTGTAGTTTAGATCAAAGTCTTCATGACTTTGTAGTCTACATGCTCTACAGACAAATTAATTGTTGGGAAGCTCATTTCACTGAATGGCATGTTTGTATGTTACAGCTGATTTGATTGCAGATATCAGTAACATTACAGACTGTATGCCCGCATTCATGTGCCTTAGTAGCATCACAAATTCGCTAAAAAAAGTGATCTATAGATAATGTATTTTTTTCTTAATTATAGCTCTTTCCTCCATCCTGGCATTTTTTACATCTCCATTTGGATATCCATTGGCTAGTACTGGAAATTCTTCATGTACTAGGTGAAAAGATGATGAGTAAGTATATGTGTTGGTTTGTTTTTCTGAAACGTATTCTTCTGCATATGACTTATCTAGATTTCTTATCTGAAACTGCCTAGAATAATTTGCTTTTTGTTACAGTAATTACTAAGCATATCTATATTTAATTGGTTAGGCTCAAGCAGAGTGAAGACTTTTTTGTTTTGTTTTGGCAGATCTTCCTTACAACTCTATGATTAAATCTTCCTTAATATAGCTTGCATTAAATGAAATAGCTTTGGGAATTTGTTGTATCAAAAGTTGACTAGTATTATAAAGTTCTTTCTTGACTGACACTTGCAACTAAATATTTAATAATAATATACATTTGACAAAAATTTGCAGAAATCCAAATGTATAATGATGCACTGCAGTTTAATGCAAACAATGTAGGAAAAGTGCCCAGGGATGGGCCAGAGCTAAGACTCTCAGATGCTGTCTCAAGCATCAGAATATCAAAAGGAGAAATATTCTTCTAGTGATGATTCCTCTTTTATTATTAGACTTGCTAGAAGGTTTTGTGAAGGCTTAAAACAGAGAATCCACACTGCTAACCATATATAACATTAAGAAGATACCGGGCAAAGGTTTGGTCAGAGGAGTTTGTAAAACTACAACAAGAAAAGGGCAAGGCGAGACTTTTTTTAATGGATTTTAAAAGGGCAAGGAATGGATTGATATGAGTAAGCTGTTCAAAGCAGCTGAACAAAAAAGGTCATGGGATGCAGCTGAAGAACCAACTTAAAAGCAGTTCAGTTTGTTAGAGAGGAAGTGTTAAAATATAGAACATTTCTGTGGAAGTATTTTTTATTATTTTTCAAGAACTGTTCATGCGTTGTTAATTTTCGTGTCAGCAAAATATATCACAAAAAAATTTTTCTCCTTTAATCATTATTGCATTACACCAGAACCCCACTTTATTACAAATCAGCTATACAAGTTCTGTATAAGAATTGCAACAATTGGAGTAACATTGAGGTCTATCTAGAGTGCCCTATAAGGCTAGTCCAGGTAACTGGTATTGAATCTGAACTCTTAGGTTAACATTAGTCCACTTTTGAGTGCTGTCACAACACAGTTTTACTCAGGTTACAGCTTCACTGTTTTCTGCACCTCTCTTTCTGGACAGCTTGTGACTTGGCTCTTCAGTGCATTATGTCTTGAAGAAAAACTTTGTTCTCTGTTTCTTTTATGATCCATTGTGGGATAAACTGTTTTCTGGTTTGAGGCTTTGAGGCCTTTTGAATAAGGATGGGAAGACTGTTGGCTGTCAAATGATCTTTCCTTTTTCTTGGTTAAGGAGTAGATAGTTCTAATCCAGAGCTATGCTTTGATTCATGTATATATAATCATATAAGCATGAACATATTCAAAAGATGCATCAGAACAGAAATATTTGCCCAGATGTTATTGAGAATTGACTAAAAAAAAACTTATTAAAGCTAAGACATTAGTGTAGGCATTGCAGTAGTTTCTTAAGAAGATCTACCAGTCTTTCAACTGATTTGAACTCATTGAAAAGGTGAGAAAAGAAACAGCAGAATTGAGTCAAAGCAAAACTTTCTGTTGTGGTTCAAAATACTGTTTTATAAATTATCACAACTTCTTGATTATTTGTTTTGCTTGAGAGTACCATAGAAAGTTTGTAATTAATTTAAACTGATTCACTTGAGCAACTGAGTGATTCTTTATTTGTTGCATTCAGAACTGTTTTTTTTTCTTTTTTTTTTTTCCTGTGCAATAGAAAGATATGGGTTCAGTATTTCAAAAACAGACTTATTTATGGGACCCACAAAATTTAGCACTGTTTTCAAACAGGTGCTTTCCTTAGCTGAGGGGAAAATAGATGTATTTTGAGAATGTTCTGAGACTATGAGGATTATTTCAACATTTGTATAATGTCGACCATGTGACGTGTGCTTTACAGAATACTTGAAAGGCAACATCCCTCTGAAAATTTGAGCTTGTAGGGTAGTATAAAAAAACCAACGTGGCTGGCAAGATATTTCTTAGGCTTTCATCTCATTGCATAAAGCCTGCTGAGCAAAAACTTCACGCTGCTGAAATCAGTGGCAGGATAAGTGGGCTCAGAGCTTCACCCTACGTTTCCAGGAATGAACAGAAGCTCAGTCTGCACATCTTCTGTTGCACTGATGTCGAGGAAGTTGTGCTGTTGGGAAGCTAGTGAGATACCATCCTACAGTCTCTTAACTCTACCATGTTATCTGTGCTAATGTCTGCAAATGCTCAAGTTGGAATAGGATCATGCCAGCTTTTCACATCAACACATCTCTAGGAAAGTGTTAGACCTCCCTAGAATTGTTTGTCATCAGCTTGCATATCTGTGAACGACTTCATGATTTCAGAACATGCGCACTGGCATGTGTCAAAGGAATTGCAGATAAATAATTTTTTATTCCCCTGAAAAGGCTGTGCCAATAAAAGACTGTGGAAATGTCAAACCATTCTACTGTCAACCAGAACAATATCAAATTTCTGTGTAATGATGAAAGCACTAACTTGAATTTAGAATGGATGAACTTTCCCAAATGAGTTTGTAGTTGAAAACTACGTATAGCTCAAACAAACCAATTTCATGATATACAGTATAGGGGGGAAAAAAATATGTCTTTCCTTGTATTTCTAGAACCATTGCCAGGCCTAAGTAGATTTTTCTAATTTTCTTTTGTCTTTTAGGACAAGTTGTATATGCTAACCATTTCATAAACCTAACGGGAGAGAATTTAACCAGTATCAGTTTATTTGAAACACACTGTGGAAATCTCATATGTGATTTAATAAGTATATCCATCAATAAGTATCTAAAGGTAACTTTTGTATATATATGTATATGTATATACACGTATATAGGACAAATTAGATGCTTGTATTAAGAACCACATTAGGTGGTGTTCTCATGCATAGATTACTTCTTACTGCTAAGTTTTAAATGTTATGTGTGGCTTAGTATCTCCATGTTTTAAACAGTGTTATTTGTTAGGAGCTCAAATTGTGTTATATTTATTCATGACCATCTGGCAGTTGAATGAGAGAGTAATATTGAGATGCAGTGCGTGCAGAGCAGAAGTGTGCCACGTTTCCTAACTTCAGTGTTCCAGGTTCCATGCCAGGCATGGCACAATGTAAAACGTTTAGAGCCACAGATGAAAAAAGAAAAAACCTCTTTTCAAACTCTCTCCCCAGGAACAAAAGAGTTACTGTATTATTGGCGTTAAGCTAACTGGACACTTACAGAATTTCACTGTACGTTTTATAGTTAAACTGTTTCAGCAATTTCATCTTTTCAGCAAATGCATCTTTCCACTATAGTGCATCTTTTCTATTACATTTGTCAAAGGAAAAACTTTCTTTCCTTAATGTCGTTCTGTCTTTCTTTTTCCTACTTTGGCTGTAGTGTTTTTCTTGCTTGTCTAAAGCAATCCAAAACTAGAAAGTCATAACAACTCCATATATCAACTACTAAGAGCTGTGCAATCCTCTTTGTCTGTGTTACTGAAATCTGCTTTAGATGGGTATGTGTGATCCATGAATTCAGCAATAGACTCTAAGAATAACTAGCAATGACCACTGTATAATTTATATTTTCCAGGTACAAAGATTAGAAAACTGGGGTCCCCCTTTCTTTTCTATTTTTCTCTATGGGAAGAGAACAACTGTGGCAGCATCTGAGAAATCTTCTGTTAAACAGTCCTAGAATCATAGAATGCTTAAGGTTGGAAGGGACCTCTAGAGATCATCTAGTCCAACCCCCCGGCACACGCAGGGTCACCTAGAGCACGTGGCACAGGACTGCGTCCAAGCGGGTTTTGAAGATCTCCAGAGAAGGAGACTCCCCAACCTCTCTGGGCATCCTGTTCCAGGGCTCTGTCACCCTCACTGTAAAAAAAAAATTTCCTTAAGTTCCTGTGGAACTTTTGGTGCTTCAGTTTCTGGCCATTTCCTCTTGTCCTATCAGTGGCCACCACTGAAGAGAGGCTGCCTCCATCCTCCTCACTGCTTCCGATGAGGTACTTATAGACACTGATCAGGTCTCCTCTCAGCCTTCTCTTCTCCAGGCTGAACAGGCCTAGCTCTTTCAGCCTCTCCTCATAGGGCAGATGTTCCAGGTCCCTGATCATCCTTGTAACCCTGTGCTGGACTCTCTCCAGCAGCTCCACATCCCTCTTGTACTG